TTTTAGAGTCCTTTCCTTTTGCACTCATGGATGTTTCTACTCTCAAGATTTATTGATTCTTTTCTATTTTAGGTGATAAGAATATAACAGGAAATGCAAATGAGCTTGTCCTTCTAGAATGTGACATTGGAGCAGAGGAAAAGGTACTTTTGAATGGCCACATATTCACACATCTATTATCGGAGTGGGAAAACAATACAGAGTAGTGTGAGGTGCTTTGGGAAAATAAAAAGGAGAGAGAGAGGTGGGTGGTAGGGTGGCTCTGTCTGTGGACTTCAAATTCGGCTTACTGATAAAGTTGCAATTGCCTGAAGTTTGAATGAACTTCCTGAAAGCAAGCAAGGACCAGTGCTTGGGGGTGTGGCTGGGGTCAGTGAAGTGGAAGACTTAATTCTCTCAGAAAGACCTTAAGTACCCAGACAACTAGGTGGAATCACTGAGGTGGGAGGGTGCAAGGTATCATGGAAAGAAAGCCCGGGGTTAGGCTGGGGTGCCGTGAGGCTGAGGTCAAGGGACTGGGTGGTGGGGGGCAGTAGGAAGCTCTGGTGTCAGTTCAGCATTGAAGGCTTTAGAAGAGCAAGGACAAAGTAGAAATCAAGGTAGAGAGTGCAGAAGCCATAGTCAAGGTGACTGCCAGGTGATCACGTGTTCTGCAAGAGGACAAAGGAAATCTGGAATAAGAATCTGCCACATCTCTTCTTACTGGGAAGAACTTAGATGTTATTCCAACAGCTTAATAACCTTTGGATCCGTTGTGATCCTTCTTCTCCTGTGGGTTTTCACCCGAGAGATCTACAGTGAATTTTCAAGCAAATGTCTTTTCTGGGCTTGGATCTTCTGGCTCTGCCTTTGGATTCTGCCATCAGAGTAGAACATGTGAACAATCACTTTGCTTTGCATGGTGTGTCTTAATAATATGAAGAGAAATTTCGGGAACATCTCCTTCCCATAGATTCACAGAAACCCCTCTGGTGCATTCCAGATACCCATTCACATAGAATTAGCAAGAGCTCATTTGCGTACAATACAATTCCACCTTTCAACAGTTCATCCACTGTCTTCAGTAAAGCCCAGCCTTGTGCTTTCCACAGGACAAAACAATGTCACAAGGATGTTACTGTCTTTTAGATTGGGGGTTTAAGGTGATTTAATTATAGTCACAGAGTATTGGGTTTTGTGTATCTTATTGACAAATCTAAACCATACTTCGGAGTTTAATGTCCTCTAAGGAGACATTGAGGGTATGCTGGCTGTTTTTTCTTCTTGCAAAACCTTGATACTAGGTAAAAATGCCTCTGATGGTATTTTAGGACCATTCTATTTTTGACCCTAATCCTTTCCTGTGCTGTGGTTATGGCCTGGAGTATCTAAATTACAGGCTCTCCTGCAGTTTCGGAAGGCTAATTCGCACCACCGTGTGCATTAGAAAGGTGGTGTATGTAATATTCCACTAAGGGAGATGCTAGGAACATTAAACCCCCGCCAGTCAGCAGTCACGAGTCAGGGCTAGCACTGACGCTAGTCATTTTTCCTCTCTGACAAGTTTTCATTATGTGGCTTTCCCAGAACAATTTAGAAATTGATCCGCAGCTGATGGAAGCCGGGATGAATTGGGCACAGAAGTGAACCCACAGCATCGGGCAAAGTCAAAATCAGTGCCGGGCGGCGTCAGCTCCAAGTAGGAGGGAGTAACTCCCTTTCTTCCGCTCCTCCCCCACCTCCATTCCCACAGTCATCAGGCACAGATTTCATTCTCTTCTCACTCTGGGGACATTCCCCCAGGTCTGGAGAGGTGATGCAAACCGTCTTTCATCATCTGTTTGCTTATCTCTTGCTTAAATGGATCAGGGGTTCACACCCTTGAGAAAACAATTCCTTATTTGACTACTGATACAAAAGGAAGGTCTTTTGTTTTCTATAAAATGGTGTAAATCTTATTGAAAAATCAAAGGCATAGATCTAGCCTTGGTCTGAGCACATGTAGCGCGCTTGTGGGTCTGTGGCTTTACCTGATACATTGACTGTGCAAGGATGTAGTTGGGCAAACCTAGGGGACCTGCAGAGAATGTGATGCTTCAGAAACTGCTCCAGGGTGCCTAAAAAAGCTCAGAGACATGTTCTGGTCTAAGGATACTTGAAGGTACTAATTGATTTGAATATTGACAGGAGTTCAGTCAGTACTACAGTTTGAATCTTGAGTGTCTTCCTCATGGCCCAGATGACACTGACTCATGGGACCAAGCTGCCATGGATTATATAATCTCAAAACTGTGACCAGAATAAACCCCTTTTGCTTATTAAAGTGATTATTTCAGATATTCTATCACAGAAAGTTAGCTAACCAACACTATCAGATTAATTTGCTGTTTGCGGTGGTGGGAATGGTGCTCTCTCTCTCTCTCTCTCTCTCTCTCTCTCTCTCTCTCTCTCTCTCTCTCTCTCTGTCTCTTTCTGTGTCTCTCTGTCTCTATCTCTGTCTGTCTGTCTGTCTCTCTCTGTCTGTCTCTCTGTGTGTATGTGTGTGTTTATAGAAAGTAGGTAGAGGTAGGGGGAGAAAGAAATTGTCTGGATTGTAGCATTATTGAAACCTTGAAGAAAAACTCAGAGGCACCATAAAAATAGGAGTTTAATAAAACCAAAATAGATTGTCCTTTTATCCCATTCCACTTACTTTTGTAAGTAAGCACCTACCCAGTTCATTGGAGTTGACTAGGACATCTCATGGTATGTCTTTTCCCACAAGAACAGTACTGATAATGGCAGTTATGGATGGAACCGCTATCATGGGCAGGAAGAGAGCTAGAGGCTTCTTTGATACAGAGCTAGTCGGGAACTGGTAAACTTGGACTTTACAGAATCATAATTTACATTTAAGAGCAGCTGACTTAGTGGGGGAAATTTCACTCTCACATTTCCTGGATTGAAGAGGACCATCTTCATGTGCACTACAAGTCATTGGGATCTTCTTAGAAGTGACCCTGAAGGTAAATCAACAGATTCCAACCCTCTGAACTTTGCTTCTATTGACTGAACCTGCCCTGCTATTGGGCAGCTACTCAGCCAATGTGCTGGCCCCTGTTCTAATGGGACCTTCATCTATTTGTATCTACAAATCCATGTTTCCCAAGACATAAAAGACTGAGGCGTCTGTGTAGAATATAACCGAGAATATTCTGAGAAATGACACACCACACTATGAGGAATTATCTCACACTTACTTTGTAAACCCAATCCTGAGCCTTCATACTTCTACAAGGATGAAATATATATGTTCTGTCACTGAGTTCAAAGATAAATTTCCCCATTTGGTTCAAGCAAAATGCTGTATGCAAATTGAGCAATTGTTCCAGCGCTTATCTGTGTTGGTTAATTTTTACATCAATGAGACAATATACTTGACACACGCATGGTTAAGGAAAGGAGGAAGGAACAGTGAGGGACATCATGTGGGGGGAGTCATAGCAGCAGAGAGTGAGATGACTGGTCACATTGCGTTTGAAGACAGGAAGCAAATTATGGCAAATGTTGGTGTTTAGCTTGCTTTATATTTTTTATTCAGTTCAGATACAATCCATGGAATACTTCCACCCATTCTCAGGGAAATCATCTCTCTTCAGCCAAACTTTTTGGGAAATAGCCAGAAGTGCGTTTTCATGGTAGTTCTAAACCTTGTCAGTTTGATAATGAAGATTCACCATGATACACCTTTGGAGAACTTGTATTAAGATATTAAGGACTAAGAGAATTTTGTTTTCTTGGCCAGTAGGAAGTATACCAGACAATGAAGAGCCAAAGAAATTGGTTGACATTATTTCTTAACTGAGTCTTTACTTCCTTATTTGTAGAGAGTAAAACACTTGAAGCCTGAGGTATTTCTTAAAAAAAACTTTTCTTCTACCTATAAATCATGTTCATGGTTGAGTAACTAGAGGAAGACAAAATAATAGCCTGGATAGTCTCAGTGCAAGATCTGGAAACATCCTTAGAATCTCTTTGTGGAGTTATCCAAGGGAATTTGAGGATGAGCTGGGAAAAGCCTAGAGGAGGGTGGAGTGGGCTGAAGACTCACCAAGCAGATTTCATCCCTACTATATGCTATAAATAATTTCACCCTAAGTCCATGCCTTCTCCTAAGGCTAGAGTTTAGATGTGGGTTAGTAAGTTGCCTTCAAAACAGAACACCTCCCTCTTGACCTGACTTCAGCCTGTGTGACTAGCTGAGAAGCACTAGTCTTAGCAAGAGGAAGGCTGCTCAACAAACATTTCTTGGGAGAGTAAGTAAATGAATGAATGACTCTCATTTTGTATGCCCTTCAGAGAAGAATACTCATCCATAGGAGCCAATTTTAATCTAGGGAGAGAAACACTTGATTGATATAATCCAGTTACACTGAAGAGTTAATATCTTCCTCTGATATTCAGGTATAAAATGTATCCTCTGGAAGCTACAGAACCCACTATAGTTATCAATTATACTTGGAGATGAATATCAGCCTTGGGGAGATCAAGTCCTTTGTGACATTCAATACTGACAATTGCTAGTAAGTTGTCCTGTCCTAACTCTTGGTCCTCTTATCGAAATAGTCTTCAGGGACTCTAGATATGACCAAAGAAGGCCAAAGCTAAGAAAAGATTTTTGAAGTAAACACTGGGCTGGAAAAATATCTCATTGCAATGACTTAAGTTTTACCTCCAGAATCCATGTAAAAATGATGGGCATGGTAATGTGTATTTCTAATCTAGTTCTGAGGAAGCAGAAATGGAGGGGGATCCCTGGAGCTAGTTGCCTCCCCCAACAAGGGTAGCCTAATTGGTGAGTTCCATGCTAATTAGAATCTTGTCTCAAAGGAAAGGGATGGTGTTCCCGAGGTTGTCTTCTGGTCTTCCAAGCATGTGCATTCAGGTACATGCACACACACACACACACACACACACACACACACACACACACACACACACACACCCCCTCCAACACTCACACACATGGTATTAAAAATAAGTCTATTAAACTGTAGACTAGTTTAAGAAAATGTTTCTCCATCATATGCCTCTTCACTGAAAAGGGGAACAAAGCAATTTCATAAAATATGTTGTTGAAATTAGACAACCAATGAGACAGTGTGTGTGTCAGGGTATTTAAAAAGATACATAAAACTTTTCAAAGGGTAATGTAGTATTATAACTATTAGTAAGTTTCTACAAGCTTTGTAGTCTTTGGGATTGTTTTAATTGTGTGCTATTTAGAATCAGATGACTACTGGCTTATATTTTAAATGATGGTTATCCATTTTATGCTAGAGTTAATTTGATTACATGTGCAGTAATATGAACATGGAGCTGTGGGTTCTGTGTCTACCAATAAGCATGCGTGTTTTGGGTGGGAAGTGAACTGTGAAGGCTCTTGTGAGTGAAATCATTAGGATACAGTAAGAAAATCAAAGCTTTTGTTTTTAATCTTTGGGTTCACCCTTGTATAGAAAAGCAAAAGTTTCTTAAACTGAACATAAATGTCTATAAGTGGCACAGAGTTTAATGCTGTTATCATTACATTGAAACTGTATTTAATTTTCTTCGAGAGCTATACCTCAGAATCTTTGACATTTGACCTAGCATACAAAGCTTGAAAGTCTCTAAAAGCATTGATTCACTCATTCATTCTTTTGCTACAGTAGTGAACACCAACTTCGATGGGTATTAATTGAGGGATATTTAATTAGATCAGACTGTGTAATACAAGTAAATGGAATTTCAACACATTAAGTGACATTTCTCCCCTTACTTCCAGGGGTCACTCTTCTGTTGGTCATGGTACTAAAATTGTATGAGTACACTCCTTTCCAATGTCTATAACCTGGATACAGGATGAAAACACATAAAAGCATTAGTCATACCTTAAAGTTATACCTCAACACGAAAATATGATTTAATACACTGTGTTCTGGCTCCCCATCTACCTTGACCTTTATAATGCTAAAAAAATTGAAACCAGGTTTAAGGCTACTGTTTTTATAAGATTGGAAGTTTCTTTTTTCAATTTATTCTCCTTTTTAGCTAATCATCTTGTCATCTAAAAGGCTGAGAGTAAAATGAAGCTACAATATCTGAGGGTATTTTAATCAAAAATGTAAATAAAATTACATGTTAAAAATTAAATGTTGTAAGTCTAGTTTCTAAAGCATTTCTTAATATTCAAAATAGAGATAGTTTTAAAGGATAATACACCATTTATAATTATCTTATAAATAATTTTAATGAGAATATTTAAGCGAAGCTTCACTTCAATTTTTGAAACAAGTCTTATTAAGTATTCCCATAAAAATGACACAATTACTCTAACCTTCAAGGGTAAGTGTCCATCCCATGGATATAGACATTTTATCTAGACATAAATATGTAAAAATTTAAGAAGAATAATAGTGTATAATATTGTACTTCTCAGCCACTGTGCCCAACTATGGGTAATATTGCTATTTCATGTGTCCATCTAGACCTGTGGAGTGGGATACAAAAAGAAAGAAAATGAAGCCCCAAAGCCACCAAGGAAGAATATTTCCTTATGGGAGACTGCTTTCTGGGTGGGTTGACAGGTTAGTAAGTATTACTGTCCTCTCACATGGTGCCTGTGGTACCTATGATATTTCTGTCCTTCAGAGAAGTGCCTATCTCCTGTGTCAGCAGCCTGACCTCCCTCAGCCCCCATTGAAGCCCACAGTTAATTGTTTTGAGCTAGTAAGTATTCATTTTTCTAGAGCTTGTGGAGGTTGCTTGTACCAGGTCTAAGTACAGCATTTCCCGTCACAGACAATCCCGTGTCTTTAGTAACCCAGCTCCTTGTGTCTGAGGCATATGGGCTCATGAAACTGCAGGTGTGGCATTACGGAGCTCAAATGTGCCTGGATGTAAGGCATGGATTGCATGTGAATATTGCTAAGGATCACTATATGGTGCTCCAAGTTGATACAATGGAGAGAAGCAAAAACTGGACATGTAGTTAATTCATGATGGGGCATGAATCCCAAATCCCACTGCACTCCAGGCTGATGGTACTCGTGGGATTCCCATCCGATAAGACTATGACTTTTCCTAAGCCATTTTCAGAGAGAGCCAGTCATTTGCAGTAGTAGATGAGCACACTTGATAGATCATAAACACAACTCCCTCTTCTCAGAGTTCTAATAAATTATAAGGGTTTTGCCATGTCTGATCTCAAGAGTTAGCCAGGAACTAAGGAGAAACCACTGGATTTGACATTGATCCCTTTCCTGATTTATTCTCCCTCATGAGCTTATCTTTGTTTTTACCAACAGTATCCAATTCGTCCATCTCCACTGGTGCCTTCTGGAAGGATTGGCTCTTATCTAGATGTCTAGGTAACTATGTACAGCCAATTGTACATATGACTTTAACAAGAGAACAGAAGAAGTCTGATTATGCAAAGAAGAAGGAGCTCTTTGGAAAGCACCATGAATCACACTGACATTCATCCATTGCATGTGGAATTTGTTAAAAGGGATAAATACCTAATTTCATAGCCCACTGTAGAAGACAGTATTGCATTTCTTCAAACTAAACAACTACCCATTAATGCTTAATTCTCATGATTTGAAAATCTTTTCTAATCTCATTTTTCTTTCCGCCTCAAGCTGAGTGATTTTTTTCTCTGTACATTTAATCATTAACATAGCATCAGTGTTGTTTGTAAGGTAACACTACCAAGAAGCCCGCCTGCACACTAATAGCTTAGTGGGAGGCTACACATTCCTAATGATTATACATTCATTTAAAGCTTGCATTGCACAGTAGCAAAGCCTACTTGAAGAAAATCACAAACTTCCTTTTAGCCAGTGTATCACATATCAAGATTTTTATACATACATGTTGACTTTTTGGTAAAGGTCCAACTTCTTAATCAGCTTTCCAAGAAAGGAGAGAGAGAGAGAGAGAGAGAGAGAGAGAGAAAATTATGCCCTGCACTAATAATCTATTTGAAAGAACACTTCTTTCAGACTACACAAAAATACAGTGCTTACATTTTTACAAACCCACAGTTTATGGAGAAATTATTTTATGTTTAGCTATCACTCACTGGTGACTGGTATCAAGCCAGCCTCAGACATGCGTACACACCACGTTTTACACATTACATAGCACATATGAAGGCTTGCTCTAAGCTGGCTAGTTACTTATGAATCTATATGCAGATTAAGCTCTAACCCCATTCTGATAGCTCCCATGCTCCTACATTTTAAAAAAATATTTTTTTTTTTTGCCAAGAAAAGCAATGGGGATTTTTTTAATACACCAAAAGAAATCAAATCATACATGTGCACTTTTTGCAAACTAGGAATTCCTGTTACTGTAAATCACTACCAGATGTCAAATAGCAAAATATTCATTACTCCCCTAAATAATGGAGTTGATTAATGAGGCACATTTACATTGTGGAATCTTGGTCTCTGTCATAACTTGAAAAAGTTTAAGAAGCCTTTTAAAAAATCATGCAGATGGGGAAATAACTTTAACTATCATGCTTCAAAGGCAAAGTAAATATTAGGCATCATGGGGCAGAATTTGGTCATCTAAGGGGTAATAACTTCCAAATGAAACTGGTCTTTCTTCTCAAAGAAAAGATGTAGTAGCTGCATAATAGACAGAAAGATAGATATGTTTCTGGACAGTCGATAGCTCATAAGCACTAAGGGTTAGGAATATGGTCCAGGGGAAACTTGGAATGGCAGACACGTTTTAAATGGTGACCTGCTTGCTCTGCTCTAGTTACCCAACAAATCAATTTATGTGGTGATATTATTTGCAAGAAATATTATTCTAAAGAAGATCCACCTTGTCTACTGAATAGGTAGTCCTCATTTGAAAAACAACCCAATTTAGTGAAGTCACTAGATTGTAAATAAAATTGATTGCTATATGCAATCATTTCTCTCGAATAGACCACCAGGGCTTCATGTCAACGTTTCTTCAACTACTGTTCAGTGTTATTCTTACATTTATTAAACGGTAGACAACTTTAAATACATTTCTGGGTTTTGTATTTGTGTTCCACTCATGGAGATATACAATTCTCTATATATCATATTAGAAAAATTAGCACGGGGAAGACATTTAACATTGGCAGCTACTCAGAAAACCAGTTGGTGAAGAATGATACTTTGGGAGCTAGAGAAGAAGCTTGTATACCTAAAACTGTACAAAGGCACAATGTCACCTGCATGCGTATACACAGTCTAGTTCTCCATCGGGTATTTCTTCACTTTAATATAGACATATTTTTCCGCAACATGTGAGCAAGCACACGCGTGTGTAGGTACACACATACACAGCGTGCACATGATATGGCAACCACTTTCTTAATAGTTAGCATTATCAGGGAATCATTAAGAACACTGGCTTAGTCACTCATGATGTTGTACACCTATAGTCACAGCAATTGGAGGCAGAGGGAGGAGGATCACTTTAAGGCCAGCTGGCATTATATATATATATATATATATATATATATATATATATATATATATATATATATATATATAGAGAGAGAGAGAGAGAGAGAGAGAGAGAGAGAGGGAGAGAGAAAGAGAGAGAGAGAGAGAGAGAGAGAGAGAGAGAGAGAGAGAGAGAGAGAGAAGAGAGAGAGAGAGACCTTATCTCAGAAAACAAAGACAAATGGCCACACAGCACAGTGGTTTTGATATATAAGGCACACACAAGTTTGAACCCCAGAACCCATCACTCATTTGCAGTGTACGATTCACCAAATAATCTTTCTAAAGTTCAGTTCCCTTCTACATAAAAAGCAAATATTCATGATCGTGTCTGTTACTTAAAGCATTAAATAAGGTGTAGACAACCAAACCAATATATTTTTTTTTTATCTCACACAGGATTAAGTACCAATGCCCCCTCTCCAATTAATAGGAATAAGATTTTTTTCAATAAAAAAACCGGCTTGTCACACTCAGTTCAGATTCTCTGTTTTCCATGTACTATTCCAGATGTAATTAGTTGCATGAAGCATACCGTGTTCCAGGACTGAACATGGACTCAGCCACAGGGGTCATTATGAATATGAACATTAATTTAAAAGCTGAAATACAGTCCAGGAACTGGTTTGAAACGTAATACCGAGGACTTAAGTGCTACCAATTACAAGGAATCCAGAACTTGGAGTTTGAGATCTTAAGGAATGATTCCTTCACTTTGAGTCTAGAAAAAAAAATGGTTAAAAGAATAAATTTCACCTCAAAACCTCATAAGGGAATACACTAGTACTAGAGTGCTCATAGTCATTCATGGCCACAGGACCAGTGGCACTCGGGCACTAAGCTTGGTATCTGTTGCAATTCTTTGTATCAACAAGAGGTAAACACTGACTGCATTGCAACGACCAGTCCAAGAGAAGTGTGTTGGGAGAACTTGAGGCAGTCATGGCACTGAACATGTGAAAACCTCCTGGATCACTTAAAGCCAGGCATGCATGGCAGCCCACTTAAAATCCCAACCCTCAGGAAGCAGAGATAAAGGATTTCTCAGCCAATCTGACTACCTAGACTGGCCAAATAGGTGAGCTCTGGGTTCAATGAGAGACTCTACCTCAGCAAATTAAGTGGTGAGTGACTGAGGAAGCAACGTGTGCCAACCTCATGTGCCAACCTCTGACCTGCTTCACACAAATGCGTCATTGTGTGTGTGTGTGTATGTGGGTATATGTATATATGTATGTATAATGCTTTTTTCACATGATCAATTGAATCATACAAATTGGATGACAATATGGTATGACAATGTAGTGGACAGATATTTATGGAAGGAACAGATTAATGTCATGGAGAAGAGAGAAGCAAAGGCAAAGGGCCATTTCTCAAGGGCTCTTGACACAAAATTAATTGCTGTCCCCTACCTAGTATGTAATTTCTCAAAGATCTGCCTCCACTTAAAGATGGCTGAGCTTAACTTTTGTTGCCAACGTAATCAAAGTCTGGGAGGTTATGGTGAGAGTGTGGGAATGCATGCTGAGTCCAGGAAAAATTCCAGGTTAAAATTCCCACCTTAAGTTCGTGAGACCAGATTCAGCTAGGTTATTGCTAACTTATAAGCATCTTTACTCTTTAGCCCTCTAGACTATAATGATAAGACTTGGCTGAAATCTATACTTTATTATAATTTAAGCAATTTAAATTGTATTTTTCTCTACCTAGAGAGATATGACCTTTGTCACATTCCAATCACCCACTTGTTCATTCATTTACTCAGTTTATAAGTCTTGTCTTGAGACATTTAACCTCCCATTTAGTAGACACAAGACTCATTATCAGAGGAGGTATTATGTGAGGAGACACTCACCGGTCCTCTCAATGGTAGAGGACAGGTTTCAGAGCCAATTGCTAAGGTGTCAGTGAAGAGCCCTTTTAACTTTTAGCATCGCTCCATCCTAAATAGTAAGCCTCTGGGTAGTCTGGCAATGGTTTCAGAAAGCCTTCATATCTCAGAGGGTCTCATTTCACACATAATGTAGAAAGTCACCTTGAAGAGGAAGTTGTTTAAAAGCAGAGGTTTTCAATGTGTGGGTTACGACCCCATTGGCAAACCTCTATTTTGAAAAATATTTACATTATGATTCATAACAGTAGCAAAATTACAGTTATGAAATAGCAATGAAAAAAATCTTATGGTTGATGGTCAAAACAACACGAGGAACTGTATTAAAGGCTCTCAACCTTAGGCAGGTTGAGAGCCACTGGGCTAAGGGAATTTAGAAAGGGACAGTCAACCTACTGAGGCTCAGCTAACTGAGGGGTAAAAGCCATCTCCTCACTCTGCAGTGCTGGGGATGCAATTTGTTTTTCTGATCATCCTTAGGATGCAAACTTTCCTTTTCCTCATAAATTAAAGGGCTCAACTGATTCTTCCAGGATGTGGCTTTGTGCATCTCCTACTGCATGTTGGATCATTGGCATTTTACCATCTTCTGCCTCCATCCATCCATCTACCCAACCATCCATCTCCAAACTAGTTTTTATGTTGATGAAGACATCCAGTTGCTAGAGGGCTTTCTTTTTCCTAGATTTAGCAGCCATTTGATGCTGTGAGATTCTGCAGTGGGAGAACTAGAAGCCAGGTGCTGTCTGATGAATGAATCATCCCGTGTATAGAAGGCCAGGTCCACATGCATGAGACAAAAAGACAAAGGGGGCCTCCATGTCCATCTTTGCCATCTTTGCCATGAATATTGATCACTGCACATCAGGACAGCTGGAGCAATTACTGGCAATCATAGAAAAGGCCAAACGAATTGACTGACTGTTCTATGGTCCAGTTTCCCAGCTGTGGAACCAGCTGCATAGCCAAGTCCCAAGATAAATCCTGTTTATGGGGTTCTAAAGCGTTTTGATCACAAAACCACTTGTGGAAGCTTGTTAAAGGGTATTTGACGATTCCATAGCAGTTAGAGCACCTTCCAGGATTGCTAACTCACTGAGGTAACCACTCAATCCCAGGACTCCCATCCAATACTCTGTTTACCAGAGATAGAAAAAGAGTACGGAAAGTGTAAAGAAACTCCAAATCAATCAACATTTTGAACGCTAACTTTGTTGACCCCTTATTCTCTTACCAGGTACAGATTTAAAATAAATGAATACAAATAATATAGAGGTATGTATTATGGGTATGGGAAGTGGTTCAGGCACAAGGACCTGAATTTGATTTCTAGGACATATATAAAACTGCCAGATGTGGTGGCACACAATTGCAATTCCTGTGCTGGGGAGCTAAAGGGATTCCTGAAGCTCACTGCCTGCCAGCTCAGTGTACTTAGCAAGTTCAGGGCCAATGAGTGACTCTGTATCACAAGAGGTGGGTGGAGTTTCAAAAGGTGACACAAGATTGTCCTCACGTCACCACATGCATGTGATTCCCCACAGATGCATACAAATATACATATACAATAAAAAAGTACATTTTGTGCTAGAGAGATAGCTCAGCAGGTATAGAACTTGGCCCATATGTATGAGGACTAAAACTCACCCATGTAAATGCCAAGTAGACATGGCACTCTGTCTATATTTCCAGCTCTGGGAAGGCAGAGACAGGGGAATTCCCCAGAGCAAGCTAGCTAGCTACACAGTCCATAAAGTGATCTCTGGGTTCAATGGAAAGGCCTTGCCTCAGTGAATAAGGTGGAGAATAATTGAGAAAGACATATGATGCCAATTCAGGCCTCCATACACAAATATACACAAGTACACACCCCTACACACATAAACTATATTTTAACTCATTTACTTACAGTCCATTTATATATATTAGTTTCTAAATGGAATCGAGATGGCAACACACACACACACACACACACACACACACACACACACACACACACACACTCAATTATGCCATCCTATTTTTTATCTCCTGATATTGCTTAGGACATGAGGGAGGCTGAAAAGGATTTAAAGTCATCGGACCTGTGGAATAAGACTCTTTGTACTGCTGAGTTCTGTTGTTTGCTAATGGAGGTTTGTGAGTTTAACGTGGGTTCCACATGAACATTGGTTTTATACTTTATAAGTCATCTTTTATACTTTCAAGAAAATAGAACAACCTTAGCCCAAAGGCAATGGACTCTGACCTCTCTTATGCTTTCCATCTGCACTACATTCATCAAACCACAGAGCTTGGAATCTGCAGCTTTTTTGGGGGGTGCAATTTAAACAAGAGAACAGAGGGAAGGGAGCACTAATAAGCCTCCCCTCAGGGGATGTAAGTAGATTCTAGCACCATCCCAGGGATTTGGGTCAGTGAAAGACCAAAGCCTGACACTTCAGCTTGGAATAAAGGCAAGTAATGGGCACAAAGTGAGTCTGCGTCTGCTGGTCTCACCCTGTGGAATTCAGAGTCTCAGAGGTCACGGTCATTTGCAAGAGATGCCTCATATTTTCCACACAACAGGTTGCAATCCTTAGGTTGTCACCTCACGGCCCGTGGGGAGGAACAAATCTTGGAACAAACTAGCTTGAGTGGACTTCCAAAATGGGAGCATGGGAATAGTGACCTATTACCAAAACCTAACCAGGCTCTTCATGATTGTTTATTTAACTGAAAATTTTGAAAAATTATGGAGCACATGGTTTAATAATGGGGCAGGATATTGGCAATCAGGATTGCTCTGGAAATCAGAACCCCCCCCCTTGGAAATCTGAAACACATGGCCCCAGTAGTAACAATTCCAATTGACTCTAAAATGGAGCCATAGCGACTTCAAGTCACTAGTAGTTAAGACACCAGAGGAGGTTAGGGACAAACAATTGTTGGATGTAAAAATAATTTCCATCATTTGCATCAATAGCTGATACTTGTGCTTTTATATTTGACTTCTTCCTTTCAAAGCACTTGGATTTAGATGCACAAAACCCGAGTATCTGCATTCCTTTTCTGGTGAAACGTGATGGTGGCTGTCTATGATTAGGACTTTTCAATGAGTTAACATTCAAGTGTGGTCCTTGTTACCAAAGGTGGAAAGAATTTATTAGGACATGTGATGTTCTCCCTTTCGCTAATTTCACCATTAGTCCTTGATCATTAGTGTTAATGAGAAGAAACAGTGTGTGAATAATTCAGGAATCATAGGTAATCCAAAAGGTATGTGTATTGAACTTGAAAATGTGCTGTATTCATTTTTTTTTTTGCATGGGGTATGTCTAATATTATCAACATTCTTGTTACTTCACATAGTATAATTAGGTCATATTGTAAAGAAATAGTTCAGAATGAGAAATGTAGTGTCTTAGAATCTGTTTGGTTTGGAATTTAACATATCATGATAGTAGGCAATATTTACAACCAGTCCATCTCCTCCCCTTAAGATTTAATCTCCCCATTCCATTGCTCTATAGCTTGGTTGTTTACTTAAACCCTAACTCTCTACCATTAACAGTTCACTCATCTCTGTACTGGCTTGCGAAACAGAGACAACTAATTAATAAATATTTATCCGATGTCAAACTTCCAACTTGATTTGAACAAGGGAAAGGACTAAAAATAATTAGAACATAAAGCTTCTACCTCGTGTTTCACTTTGCTCGATGCAAGATGGGTATAAAGTGTTCACAAAGTCTTAGTTGCTCTGGCACTGACCCTGTGATGTTCTGGGAACCCATTCATTTCTTCAGATATGAGAGTCCTCATTAGCAGAGTGGGAGGGTTGAAGCAGATGATGAATGCTTTTTTAAGGGGGCTTATGTTTTCACAGAGTTGTCTGGGAGTGCAAGACAGTTTTTGAGAAGAGAGGATGGGGTGGCAAAGGTCAACAGGCCGGCTCCCGTGCCTTCCCCTGGTGCAGCAAACACAGTCACATGTTTATCTGTGGATGCACAGCCTATGCTGATGTTCCATGTCACAGGGTGTGTGGGAGTGAAAGAGCAGAAAACAGAAGACAGGATAATCAACTCTTGAGGCATTTTCTGCTTCCACGAAACTATTAAGAATGTTTATAAAGCAGCACAGAGTAGGCTAGACAATTCATAAGAACTATGACTAGAGACCTGAGGTCGAGTAATGTCAAACTTATGGACAAATTAGGGCAACAAGAATGTGGTTAAACTTGAAGCTTTGAAAACTCCTACAAATAGATGAAGACAAGGATAAGTAGAGGCTGAAGAGAATTTTTGTAATGAACACCTTAAAATCAAGAACATTTAAGACAGAATCAGTGTTATTCTTCATAGTTTAAATGTGTGGGGCTTTGCCCTGAAACCATAACTGTCCCTGCTGCCCTTCATCATGATGTGGAGTGAAGAAAAGATGTGGAGATCAGTACAAAGAGCAAGAGGTTCCTGGTCCCCCCTTTTCCAACCCATGGATTTGCACACATTCAGACACCTAAGTTTGGTAATAAAAATTGTATGCCTACCAATGTTTGAATCACCCACTTCTTTTCAAAGGACATTTTTCATCCTTTTGAAAATAGCATGAAATATAAACTGAGCAGTCTGAAATGTCCACTCCCACCTCCTTATACATTTGCCAGAAGCCAATCTAGCCATTTTTAAAGAAATCCATTTGCATCTCTTTACCATCATATTTCAAACTGGAGTGAGAAATGGCTGAGGGATCTGGAGATTGCCTCATTTTGGGTCCTAAACTTGTCTGTTTCTCTTCACCATTCGAGAATGATCACAAGGTCTTCTGATAGAAGATGAGAGTGGAAATCAAGTTTCTTGGCAATCACTTGACTCAATGTGTTTGCGTCTCCCGGTGACCAAATGTTTTGCAGATGCGTCATCTAAACCATGCACATGTGTCTCCTGGGGAGGGAGGAGAAGAGAGAGGGTAAACCAGTCAGGGCTGGAAGAAGCTGAATTGGGAATACCGGTGGGATGCGTCCTGTTTCTTCACCAATGCGTTCTTTCATTGAGGAGTTCGGTTTCTTAGAGCTCCTCTTGGGCATGGCTCCCTCGGAAGTTCAAAAAGTTTAAGGAGGCTTGCCTTTCCACACAAATCACTGCTTAAGTAAGGGTGAGAATTTAAACAACAAAAACTGTAACAAAAAAAAAAATCAAGCTTGTGTTCTTTTTGTTAAAAAAATAAAGAAACCAATAAATAAATAAATAAAAATAAAGGAACCCTCAGAAACATCTACCCCTACTGATTATGATAGCTTTTCCTCTCCTTTATTTTATTAATCCATGAGTCTTCTATGCAATCATCTACCACTGTGTGTGTGTGTGTGTGTGTGTGTGTGTGTGTGTGTGTGTGTACGTGTGTGTGTTCATGTGCACACACATGCACACGTGCATGCAGAGGGAGGGTATAAGGCAGTGAAGAGAACAGGTAATGAATAAGGAAGCTGCCTATTGGTCAGAGAAAACATATGAAAACCTATAACTTCTGTAAGTCCTTCGCTTAAACCCCCAATGGCTCCTTCATGATGTCCTGAATACCTCTGTACCACTCCCTGGTGATCTTGTGTCTTCTTACCTAGCCAGACTAGTTCCTTGCCATGCTTCCTTCCAGGAGCCAAAAACAGCTTTGCTAATTATAGGTGTTTCTGGGTGGTCAATTTGCTTCTCACTTTTTGCTTCATAATGGAGTCCTTGCATCTTCTCTCCCTGGTGTTGTTTGGTGTCAGTGAGATTCATACTGCCCTGGAGAATTCTTACACTGTGTATATGAACGGTCCACTTGCTCATCATTTAGCATCCTGCTGTATTCTACTGTGACTGAAGAGCAGGACGTAGCTATAGTTTGTTTTCACAGTTCACACACTCAGATAACAGTGCTAATTTAAGAATAGATTCCTACGACTCACTGTAATTTCTACTTACTGAGAATGCCTTTTGTTTGCTTATGGGTAAAGTCAATGCATGTGATGTTGTTTTGTTCATCAGTGGTATACTCTTAGTCAGTGATCTGCCGGATTCAAGTCTATGCCTCCCCCCAACTCTAGAGATTGTCTGTATTTACAGGTGAATTTGCAGGAATAGGCCAATTAGAATAGCTAACTCTTAAAAAGACTCCATTAAAGTCTTTTATGTATTTGTTGATTCTTCACAATAGCCAGGAAGGAAGAATCATTATTGGCAAAGCTACTTCAAGACTCAGCCTGGATTGGAACCTGGGTACTTTGGGTCCACAGCACACTCTCTGCTGACTCTCCAATATGATCTCCATGGATCTAGATTCTGAAAGGATTGGAACTGAAAAAATTCCTTCTTTGTATGCACAGGGGGAAACCAGTCACTAATTTAAGAATAGATTCTTACGACTCACTAAATAAATAGAATTTAGACTTTCTAAATAAATAGAAAGAACAGAGGAAGCAAGGAGATTAAAAAGAGGGGACACAAAACCCAGGAAACTGTTCTAAGAAGGAATTCAAAGTCTCCTTCTTGAATTTCATGGGGCCATCAGCATGTTGAGAGGACTGCCAACCATCACCTAAAAGGGATTCGCTTGCAGCAAAAATACAGGGGTGAAAATTCATGCAGATTCAATTTCTGCTTTGTGTGTATGCATGCATGCAGGTGTTTGTGCATGCTTGTGCGTGGAAAGGCCAGAAGATAGTCACACTGTCTTTTTTTTTTTTTTTTTTTTTTTTTTTTTTTTTTTTTTTTTAATACAGCGTTTCTCAGTGGCCTGGAACTCACCAAGTCATCTAGGTTGGCTGCCTGGCAAGCCACAGGGACCTTCCTGTCTCCTCCTCCCCAGCACTAGAATTACACATGTAAGGGACTATGCCTGGCTTTTTATATGGGTACCAGGGATTACACTCAAGTCCCAGTGCTTGTAAGGCAAAGCAGTTTACCAACAGCTAGCCCCACAGAGTCAATTTCTGCATTTTTAAAACAAGGAATTACCCATATGTTTTTAATTTCTTAGCCTGAGCAAAGAGAAACTGATGAAGACCTCCCCCACCACCCCCGGAGATCTGAGTCAGACCTGAGAGGCTGTAAGAGGATGCTGGAACGAAGTCCTGACAGAAGTAGCTGGAGGATTGAGAGTATCTGAACACTGCAGTGTGAGGAGGGCTGGAAAGAGCAGGGCTCATTGTTTGGGGAACTGACTATGATGTAAAATTGCATGTGACCTTCAGCAACTTTCAAGGTATTTATTTTTTTTCCTAACATGGAGGTCATGATCTGAGTAATGTCTGTACGAGGCTGCACCCTGAGGGTTGCCCTGAGTGTACCCCTTGCAGGTACAACCGTGAGCTATCACTAAATATTTTCCATGTCATTTCCCAGAAAAAAAGTATTCCATGAGTTAGAGCTCTCTTAATTCCTATGTTTGATAACATTGTAATATGGCTATTTAATAAGGCATAACCATAATCATACCTATACTCTGCATTGAGTGAATTTTGATGAGACTCTCAGAAGAATGCAGAGACATGCAATGTGCTGCTACCAGAAGACAGGCTAAGTGTGCATGGAGAAGCATGGTCCTCCATGCATGTTTCAATAATTGCAATTTAGTAGAATAAATGAGACAAATGCATAAATGCAATAAAATGCACAAGAGGTTACAGGAGAGAGAAATTATTATTATCCTTATTATTATTATAATTGTTATCCTTCTGCCAGAGGATATGAAGCCTTGAAAAATTCATAGAAGTTTTAATTATAAATATGGGGGAAGGGCTATAGGGGTTTGAAAAATGGAAATACCCAAGTACAAGGTACAAGTTTTATTTCATTTTTGAAAGAAACTACTGAGATATGTAGTTGGGTCTTATGTTCCTCTTAGTACGGAGGAGGGAGTCGCTGTGAAGCAGCGATCTTCGAAGGCACATATGTGGGATCAGCTGTGTGTAGAGGTGACTTTCTTTCTCTTGTCACCTTAATCACAGTTTTGGCAACAGTGGCTCCACTTGCCATTGAGGTTTCGCTAAAGATTAAAATTCATTATTTCCAATAAAATCATGATGGAAAATACAATCAAAATGAAAGTTCATTGTATATACAGCAAGTTACACATAATTAAAGGCAGTAGAAATTGCCAAAACACTTACTTAGCAAAGCCTATAGAATATTCGAAGCTATGTGAAGCTAATATAATCTGTTCTCAAATTTGGAATGTGGAAAGACCTGAACATCTGTCAATATCTTCTGGCTGATTTTAAAGAGTTCTCGTGTGACTTCTAGAAATAAGGAATCTATTTAGAATACTCCCAAACTAAGACTATAATACTGTTTACTAAATGCAAATGCAGACTGAATAGCTTAGTATGTTTTCTATATACTGAAGCTATGCTGTCAATCTTAAGAATGCTTTGAATATGAAGATGGAGGATAGAAATTCAGAGGAAAAATGGTAAATGTATCAAGGCCAACATGATCCAATAGATGTTTGTATAATGTATATGAAATATAATTAGATTCATACTTTATAAGACAAAAGAAAGTAGATTATATAATTTGAGGTATCTATTTACTATTGTGACTGGTACATTAAAAAGTAGATATTTAATATGAAGTTTCTTATTTTTTTCTCAGGAAATGATTGTTAAACTAATGGCTCATTTTATAACAAAAGGAAGTTTCAGGCCTGGAACCACCACAGAAAATGTCCTGGGCAAAATACAGGTTGCAGGAAATATCCCAAGGATATTGCTTACTTGTTGTATTATATGCTTTGGTATTCCAGAATTGGTTCCCATTAAAGTATTGATTTTTAAGTAAATTACATTTTATTGTATGCTGTGTATGAGAGATGCTGATTAGTAATCAAATCTAAGTACTTTTGATTTATTTTTATGGAAGACTATTACAAAGGCAAATTATTAAAATGAATGTAATTATCCATGCTTGATTTATCTAATGTAGGGCACAGTTTATTAATCTTTATTTTCTAAGGGTATTAGAGAAATTCTTAAATTCAAATTTTAAAAAGTCCAGGCATATGTGGAATCTAAGGACACTCATCATAGAAGTAGAGAAATTTATAATGCCAAGAAATAATAGCCAGCTAATGACCTCAGCCCCGACATGCACCGAGTCGAATACAATTACAGCCCGTTCTCCATTACCCTCTCAAATGAAGGAGAACCAAATATGGATGATACAAAATTCATACACAGAAAGTAGAAGATAGTTGGGACAGTTTCCCTCATTGCTGAGACTCACCTGGAGTATAGCTTGTGATGGGTCAGTGCTTGCTTATATCAGTGTGGATCTACCAGACTCTAAGATATGATGGCAAGGTATTTCCCCATTTACAGCCCTGAGAATCTCTGCTCTTCCCCTGGGAGGAAAACAAGAGTAAAACTGTGATCAAAATGTGACATGCCAAGAAACACCTGACACATACTTCAAATACTAAATAATTTCCCCAGAAGTGGCTGAAGATATCTTATTTCTAGCAACAGATTGTATTTCAGATGCATCCAGGCTGATGTAAGCAAGTGTCTTATTTAACAAAGAAGTCTTTTTATTTGGATTCAGATACCCACAGCTTGACTCATTTCTTTTCTCTGTTATATGAATGAAATAGAGAAAGAAAGTTGAATAAGTATTCCTTCAGGTTTGAGAACCCATTTAGCACAAAAACAACCATTTGAAATTCTAGGCTATGATTCCAAAATTTTAGAAGACACCTGTAGAAAATTCTATGCCAATTTATGAAGTAATAATTTCTCTTTGGGAGACTGACTTTATCCTCTTACAGAATAATTAAAATGGGACATTTTCAAAAAGTTTTAGGCAATGTTTCTTCATGTCTTGCCTATACACTCTTGTAAGGAATAAAATCCATTAGAATATATATATATATATATATATATATATATATAATTGGATCATTCTCCCTTTTTATTCTGTTAGGCCTGAGAAAGCCCTGACTGTTGATCTGAGGTCTAATAAGAAGGGCACTGCTAACAGGGAGCAAAAATGACCATATACAAGTTTCTCTAAAGTTACTATTTATACATAAAAGCCCTGAAAGTAGCAGGCATCTATAATGTGAAATTATTCTTAGCACACGGAGGTAGCTTTATGGTAGGGCTTTGAAAGAATTACATTCTCTTCATTTCTTCAACCTCCCTTTCATCTTCTTTTAAGATATTCTTGTGTGACCTTCGCCACAAAAGAGAAGCCAGCCCAATGTCACTGGGAAATTAGGGTAGGGTCATACAGGACCGTCTAAAGACTCCTTTTAGACAAAGCTCTTTTTAGAACTGTCTAAAAGCCACAGACCATTTAAAATGGGCTGAGAACGGGGCCACTCAAATGCTCAAGGCTCAAAGGGGTATTGGAGCTGACCTTTTGTCCCTTCCCTTATCAATGAGCTCTCTGAAGATTTGAGGATCACAGTTCGTTCAGGTGTGTCACCTCCGAATACACCTCCCCATGCTCCAGCCGTGCTCCTTTTCAGATCTTATCCAAATTCTCAAGAGTCGTGAAAAACAATTACCAAGAGCTCTTCGGGATACCCCAGGTTCTGTAGCATTGAGTCTATAATTATCAGACAACTAATGATGTCTTCACCAGTTAGGACACAACAGATCTTGGGCACATTTTCTCTTTCCTCTCTAAACCATAAACATCTTTGGATTTCAGAGTCTGGGAGATGAAATTTGCAATAATAAGAGCTCTTGTAGCCTGGATCTCTGAGAGTCTGTCCACCTGGCTCTAGATATCTAAGTGGGAAGTGATAGCTTGTACTGTATTTCTCCACAGCAGCGAGTTCTCCTTAAAGTCTTGAAAGTGAACTCGTTAGTCTGATGATACGTCATCTCAAACCAGCTTCTTGAAGCTGTGGGATCTGAGAGTTCATTGCCAAGGCAATTAATGAGTGTTTGTCAGCACAGGCAATGCGTTCTTGTCTCCTGTCTATGTCCACCAGGCGAGAATCAGATGTAGAGGGCGGCCTACCTCTGCATGCTGTGTGATGTTGTATCTCCCTTTCCACCTTTGTGCACCTTGTTTTCACAATGATGATAAAATAGGATCTATCTTGTGGGACTTGGCAGAGAATGAAGTCAGCTCCCATGTGCGTGCGTCTTCAGTGAATGTCAGCTCTTCGCTATGGCTTTCCCCAAGCGTTTCTTAGACAGACTCACATCTGGCCTCATACCACATGCCTCTTCCTTTGAAGTTCATTCCTGAACTGAGAGTACACATAGCTCTTTCACTTAATTGAGATTTAAATTATTTATAGCTTGAATAAATTATTTCTCCTTCTAAAGATATTTACATTTAAAGACACATTTAAACCCTAGGTTTACTTATACTAAAAACCAAGTTTTAGGGTTATGACTTCATCATTGGGTGGTCTTAGGCAAATGAGTTAACTTACTTATGTCCTCTAAGCCTTAGATAGTTGGAATCTGATAAATGAAGGTAATATCAGTCTCGCAGATCATGAGACTACTAACACAAATCTACTCAACCAACACACTTTCATAAGTACATTTTCAGCCCCCAAAAGAAAACCTAACAAAACATAGTACTCATGCATTAGAAGAAAAAATGATTTATCAAATCAACTGCACACCAAGGAGGGACCAGCTACAGGCACACTTGGAGCCAGATGCTTAAATGATGTTCGCATGGATGAGCTCCTCTTCCTGCTTCAATTCTGTCCCTCAGTCAGCTCCATGGTTGGATGGCCCTTCCTCCTGAGACATCCCTGTTGGTCACAGGGAAGGGCATTCACAGCTTCAGGGGTTGTGAGGGAAGCGTCTTATTTTTAAATGTTCCCTCCTTCCTTCCCTTCCTCCCTTCCTTCGTCCCTCCCTCTGCCCTTCCCTCCCTCCCTTATTTCCTCCCTTTACCCCCACCTGTCATTTCCTTCTTTCCTTTCTTCCTTCCTTCTCTACTTCCGTTCTTCCATTCTCTTCCTTCCTTCTACTAGATTCCAGGCCGGAAAACCTGAACTCAAGATCTCCTCGCTTTTACCTCCAAGGTGCTGGGGTTACAGACGTGTTCCACGGTGCCTGACTTCCCAAGGTTTCTAATCAGATTCTGCACCAGGGCTGGGGGCTGAGGTCAGCAGTTGACTGCATGCCTAGCAGGTGTGAGACACTAGGTTCCATCCCTAGGACTGTGAGGAAAAACAAAAAGATTATGTCCCAACCCTCGGCACTGGTTTGGCTTATATGGTATCCCAGAAAAAAAAAAATACATAAATAACTGGAGACACTTGGTACCAAGTGAGCAACTTATGCAGGCCTGGCTTCTGTACTCATTCTTGAGTTCAAGTGCCCTGATCAGCAGGTGGGGTCCCTGGTAAAAATCCAGATGCTTCTGTCTGAAGAATGGATGGGGGTACACTGGCTGAAGAACCATCAGAGAACGTTCCAACAGAACTTCATTTCTCTTTGTAGAGCAGTGTTATGGGACAAGTCTGGGGGACACCGGCCTTTCAAATCTCTTTAATATCGGACCTAAGTCAAAGTGGCAATGAGAGTCTCATTCAATGTCCCCAGTAATCAAAGTCATTGTAACTATTCTATACAAACACATATACATGTCCTTACATACTTGGACATCCTATGTGTAGCAATACATTTTGTGTATACGTGTATGGACATACATGGTGTATTGCGAATGTACATGTGCTGTGAGTGGTGTGCACTGTTCTAACTCGTTGTTTAAAGAAAGATGTCACCTTTGTTCACTGGTGTTTGAACATAGCAGCAGTAGATGATAACGTGGAGAGTAGTTTTACAGGCTTATTTTACATCTGGCACCACTGGTTTATTGGAACAAACATACAACTCACGTGAAGGTGGTTAATACCGGGTCTTGCACTGGTAATGTGCTCCGACGGCTTTATGCCTCTTTAAAGTGCCTATCTGTGCCTGCCACTTTCCAACATGCGCCACGGGCTTTATAACCATCGCCGCGCCACTGCCCAAAGCTGCCAAATGAGGATTTTGAAATTTAACCACAACACAGCTGGCGATCGATCTGGGAGTGGTTAAGGGGGGATGGGGGTAAAAAGCACAAGAGGTCTGATGTCTCTGTTAAGGCCCAGGTAGACACATTTGTTCCAAGGGGCGGCTCTGGGGGTCCACAATTGCTCCTGTATTTCCCCTTAGCCGGTACCACTGCATACGTTAAAACCCACAGCCCTTTCTCTGGGGCACGCCGCAGAAACTTGAGATCACAAGAGTTTCATGTTTGAAGAAGTCCAGAAGTTTCTCATTAGAAGCTCATTCCTCAACTACCTACGAGGCAAACAAAGGCCCCCGATCTTCCCGTGGAGCGCTCTTTATGTGGCCCAAGCAGTCAGTACCGTGTGGGGGTTGTTAAGAAGTTAACAAGACCTCTGAGAGCGAAACAAGCGTTGTGTTCTGAAAGCACGTCGAGAACGCTCGCGGGGAGCGAACACCGCGCAAAAGCCGTCCTTCATATTTTGAATAATGCTCTGCTCCAAATCTTTGCAGCATTCTCGTTTGCTCCCCGCAATCTGATACTGAAAAGTGGTGCTGGGGGTTGTTATCAGATTACAAATACATAGTTCTGGGATATTTATATATATATATCTCCATATTTCTTAGAAAAGGAAAAACTGTTAGCTGTCTACTTACAGACACAGAAAAATTGCCCTTGGCCCTTTGGGAGGTCAGCCTGAGCCCTGAATTGAACCAGGTGGGCAGTATTTAGCTATTCACCTCACAGTACTGGCTACCCCCTAGGTCCCTGGGGTGATCCTGGCACACCCTCCCTGATTTCTTTCCACTATACCTCATGCATTTGGACTCCTTTGATCCTCGGGTGCCCTGACTCAAAAGAAAGGGGAGAGCAAAGGAAGGCACAGAGTTCATCCGAGTGCTTGAGGCTCTGTGGAAGGTGGGGAGAACAGTGGGCCCACACTTCAGTGAATGCAGCCTCCAGGCCTAGCCAGAGATGACCCCGATAGCTGACAGGAACTTCTCTAGAACTGAAACTTTCTCAGGATGGGACTTTGAGGTGAAGTTGAGGCATTAACTTACTCCCCAAACAGATAAGCCTTTCATTATCCGTCTTCCTTGGAAAGCAAGTTTGACAAGTTTGATATTTATACGAGGACCGTGAAGTTTACTGGCAAGTTCAAAGGCATAATCCATTACTGCGGGCAGCTGTGAGTGGAAAGATGTTTAGTCCTTTTAGATTTTCACTTGAATGATGGAAACACTTAAGAGGGCATGATTTTTTTTTTCCCAAGGAGACGGCCGAGGTTAGGTGGGCCACACTTGTATTTTAATGAGCACGATTACATTGTATCAAATTGAAAAATAAGGAAATGCATATTCAGTGCTCCGAACAGGCACTATGTTGGATTATATTTCTCCAACTCTGATGCATTTGTAACTGCAAAACTCAGAAATCTAGACTCATGATATTCATATATAAAAACATGTGCATGAACGTACACACACATACTCACACAGTTCAGACAGCTATCGTGCTCACTTCGGTAGTCTATCGTATTCAGCCTCTTCTCTCTCCTGTGAAAGAATACAACCTATCAATGACGAAAACATTGAAAAATATACATATCGATGCCTCACGTGCTCACTGGGATTACAGCACTTTCTGTAAGCTTTTAAAAAAACATGAAGATTGACTTTGACCAAGTTTGGTTAGTTCTGATGACAGCCCATTGTTAACCTTGACCAAATCATGGCTTCAGTTTCTCTCTTCTGTAAGATGAAGAAATAGGCAGCGATCTCCGATTCTGGGTGGAGACCCCAAATGACAGGAAACAACGAACATGCTCCCTGCCGTGACTTCTAGACAGAGGCCTAAGTGGCCAGTGCAAGCAGGGATTGTCTTTGGAATCTTATTTTCATGTTGCAAAATGAAGTAAAATTTTGTGCCCTGCTCCAAAATATCCAGATGTTAATATGAACATAATTTTTTTTCTTCACACGTTTTTAAGCCAAATTGTTATTGCAGGAGTGCATGCTCCACAACAACCCTGAGTGCTTACCTAGTCCCTAGTCACCTACCAGGTGAGGCTGAGGCTGGGTAAGATCATGTTTGAGAAGCATTGCTCTTGGGTTGGACATTCTCTGAGAGGCCCTAGCTCTCTTATTTGGGGTGATGGGCATTGAAAATGGCATAAGACTAGTTTAAAGGCAAGTGGGCCTCTTTTTCTTGGCCTATTAGCACCAAAGATCTTGGAATATTCATTATCTTAAAATCTTACTTTGGATGTAAGAAAGTTCTATGGTAACAGTCTCTAGGAATTCTGGGATTAGTGTACAAAAGAGTGATCTAGGAAACTCTTTGGACCAGTGTAGTATTTGTGGTTTCAAGTTATCGTAGCAAAAACCATTTCTTAGAGGCCATGAGATCCTGCTTCAGGGGGTCCAAGACTACCATGGACCAGCACTATGTGCTGATCGAGCTCAGAATGGAGGCTTTGGGGGCTTCTAACGTCAGAGCTGCCATTAGTCTGATTGCATAGGTTACTTAGGTAAAAACAGAACGTGAGTTTCAAATGCACTGGGCCAGGAGTGACTCTTCTCAGAAGATGGGTCTGGGAACCTGCTGTTTGTGCTGGCTGATCAACATCTGGCCTAGAAGGCAGATACTGCAGGCTAGGGTGCACTTTGAACGACACCACTATTCAGTTTGTCTCAATGATTGTTGGGCTCTAAAAGTGGATTGCTTTTCATGCATCACAGTTACATGTTCAAAAGGCAGATGAGCCTTCCCCTAAAACCGTGTTGCAAGTCTCATTTCATTTTTCTTGTGAAGTCAGATTGTGCTGAATAATGGAAGCTTTGCGATATTTGAGGTTTTTTTTTTTTTTTTATGAAAATCTCTGTTCCCCATGGTCTTTCTCTAACGTTCCCTGTTAACTCCAACTGCTATCCAGCAGCCTGTACAATGTCCCTGAACCTCCCGATGTGCCTCACTGTTCTGTACACAGAAATCAATCCCCCAGTGGCAGACAGAAGGGTCCACCTATTCTGGAGAGACACGGGGAAGCCACAAGCACAAGCCTTACATCAAGAGAAGTAGGTGGTTAAGGATGATTAGGTTTCAAAATGAATGTGCAGCAGGTTCTGGGCTTCTGGCTGAATCAAGATTAAACTTAAGGTGATGTCGTTTCAAGAGGTAATTTTTCACTAACTGAGAACACAGAGTGGAGAATCTTTCAGTCCTTGAAATCCCCATTGTCTGAGACCACTTATCCATCTTAGCTTAATAATCATAAATGCGCAAGGAAGGGAATGGAGAGGATTTGACATGTATTTAATGTGTCATCAGTTCATAAGGGATAAATATTTCCAAATATATTTTGTGGACCACATTTTAAAAATTCACTAGTGTATACTTATTAAAATGCAGATTTGTGGACTGGATGTTTACCAAGTGTGTTTTTCAAAAGCCTTGGAACTGGTATGTTTTAATCACCTCTCCAGGTGATGGTTTTTAAACTGTTATTTCAGAACCATTTCAAGGAAATGAAAATTTTCTTCATTCACTGGAAAGAGGTTTACTTGTCTATTTTCTTCAGAATGACATTCACTCGATGTCTTCCTGGATGGATACTAAGTCAAGAATTAACCAAAAGATGGGTTTGGTAGAATAACGGCAGGATAGAGTCAGACTACATGAAATGGATCTTTGAATCATACTCAACTGTGTGGTTTCCAAAGCAACCTAGGGGGAAAAATAACTTTCAAATGAATACTCATGAAAATCAGGTTAAAGTAACAAGTTAAAAGGCGAAGAAATGGGCTTGTGTGTTGGGTTGCTGGATCCTAGTTACATGTCAAATTAAACACGCAATTGCTGTATCCTGAATAGAAGATGGTACTCTGCTACAGCTCGTAAGTGGATGTTTAATTGACCTTCTGCAATTAGGTTAGCTTGCTGGTTCTTTCATTAGAAATTCCAATATTGTGATCATTTCTTTTATGTTTTTTAAAGAGGGTAACCACGAGTGAGCTACATATAGAGTTTACTTAGAATCGACAAATAGAAGAATGGAATAACTTGGTCAGGTGGAGTGATATATAATCATCAAACATGGTGAGCTGAAATGTCATTTCAGAAGTGGGAAAGAAAGCAAGAGTATAAGACAGGTGGTACTAGGGGCCTCAGTGTGTTCTCAGCCTGGGATTAATTTATCTTGGACAAGTCATGTACTATTCCTGTGTATCAGTTCTTACATCGATCATGAAAATGACTGCGTCTGTGACAAGGTTGACCTACAAGTATTTGATAGCCAAGACCTTTTTAGGAAATGGTAGAAATTAACTGAGAGTCCAACTGCTGGGAGAAACCATCCTTTGTAAGTAGATTAGTTCAGAAGGAGCTTGCTGGTGGTCTAACAAAAGTTGCTTAGGGTTGTTCATGCAGTACAGACATGGAGCACTATGAATTAGGATAGCATCAAGGTTTATAGACTGAAAACTGAGGCAGGATCTTCCTATACTTGAGCATTAAGATTGCCTGTATTACTTTACCTGTACTCTCTACCTGGGCCAGTCCATGATTCAATCATGCTCTCACTTGAGATGCTATTAGGAGATTTTCCCTATACCAATGCTGTTGAGCTGTACCTTTCCCTCTGACTCTTCATCTTTAGGGCTGAGTTGACATGCGCAACAATGCTGAATGCCAAGTAATACATAATCTGTGGCTGATGCTAACTGGTTGATACTAACTTTTGCCGAAACTCCTCTTTCTATGATCCATGTATTGCCTAATGAAACCTAGACCTCAGTCTAGAGACTTCTTTAGTGCAAATGGATATCTGTAAAAGTTTCTGTTATCCAAAGACTCCTGTATGTGGAGTGTTTAGCTACATGGTCAGGTCAAGACCAGGTCATGGTCAGAATGATTAGAACCATCATTTCTGCTTTAGGGATATCTCCATGCTGAGGCTTATTCCTAGCCTTTGCTTGACTAATGTATCCCTATGTTCCAGCCAGTCTTGTGAGTAGGTTCCAACAGGCCATACAACACAAATGTAGACGAACTGCTAAACGGTCTTATTAAATAAAAAACTCAACCAGAAATTGGGGTTAAAGCCTGAGAGAGATCAGAGGAATAGGAAAAGCCACAGCTAACCTCACCTCACCAACTCTGCAGCTTTCAAAGTAAGCTACTTCCTGTTCACTTACACCTATATGCTTTTCTGTTCCGTTTTCTCATTTGCTCTCTCAGCCCAGCTACTTCACTTCTTCTTCCTGCCCAGCTCTGTCACTTCCTGTCTGTTTGTATAGACCTCCAGACCTCTGTGGTTAGTACTGGGATTAAAGTCGTGTGTCACCACACTTGGCTCTATTCCCCAGTGTGGCCTTGAACTCACAGAGATCCAGACAGATTCCTGCCTCCCAAGTGATAGGATTAAAGACATGTGCTACCATTATCTGACTTCTGTGTTTAATATAGTGGTTGGCTTTTTCCTCTGATCTCCAGGCAAGTTTTATTGGAGGATACAATATATTGGGGGACACAATACATCACCCCACACAAATGCTGAGCTCAAAGAAGAAGCAAGATTTTTATCAAGGATACAAGCCATTCGGCCATTTTGTCTTTACATTTGGCATTTCATGCTTGGATAATAGAGTTGCATTTACCCTTAAAAGGTCATACATTTTGTTCTAAAAATCTAAATTCATCCCAGTAAGAGTGAAAGAGAATTAAAGAAATTTTGCATAAAAATTGGGAAATATCAAATGCAACTCACTGACATAGGAGTATTACATAGCCCATGTAATGCCTGGAGGAACTGGAATGTCGGCCCCAAGGATTCACACTCTGGATCAGCAGTTCTCAACCTTCCGAATGCCGTGACCCTTTAATACAGTTCCTCAAGTTGCAGTGACCCCCAACCATAAAATTATTTCATTGCTACTTCACAACTGTAATTTTGGTACTGTTAAGAATCATAATGTAAACATCTGATATGCAGGATATTTGATATTTGACTCCCATGAAAAGCTCATTCGACCCCCAAAGGGGTCGCAATCCACAGGTTGGGAATTGCTGCTCTCAATCATTTTCCTGGATTGTTGTGAGAATCAAATAAAAAAAGGCTCTATAGTCAGGAAAATATTTTATTGCTTTGTTAAATGTAAACTTTACTGGGTAGTCAACTTTTAAGTGAAACACAATAACAAAAATGTGGGTCTGCTTTAAATGATGAATGATGGTTATCTTTCATGAGTCTTGAAATAGTACCAATGCTGGGTACATGCATGTCTGGATTTGAATCCACATACTTGGCCCACATTTAATAGGCATCTGTAGTAATCGCCTCCCACTGTGCATAGCATGAAAAAGAAGAAGGAGGAGGTGGAAGAATAAGGGAGATAGCAAAATACCTAAAGGACACATAAATCCAATTTGGAGGAAAGAATGAATTGAACTCTAAAAGTGTTTTCATTGCAATGGGACTTCAGAAGTGGAGATAATTATGGGGTGTTCTTGCAGAGCTTGTAACCTTGAAGAAACCATTTCCCCTTAATGTTTGGTCTA